TGTGACTCCAGGTGTTTCTCTGGATACACCTCAGGCTCCTTCGCCCTCTCACTTTCTTCCCCTTCTCAGTTAAGGTGGCTGACATGCTGGAAAGCCAAACACGGTCCCTGGCAGGTTCATCTCAATGGAAAAGGACTTTTCCCACAACTAGTTTACCTCTAACACAGAAGAACTGTAGATCTTCTGAGAATGGGATGAAAAGAGAGAGTCTGCTTTGCAAGAGTGGAACCTCCCACTCCAACGTTGTCCTCTCTGTAGCCTGGTGACTTGTCTTGGGAACGGGGAAGACTCATCTGGCTGCCATTTTGAGAGGGTGCCCACAGCAGATCCCCTCCCCCAGATTCAAATGGGCCCCTAGCCTCAAAAGGTTGCCTCAATCGGGGTCTCCCTTTCCTCGTCTTCCTTCTGATGTACGACTCACATGGAGCTTTGCTTTTTCTGTCTCCCAAGTGCAAAGAGCTGATGAGCCCAGTGAAGAAGTCCCTGAAGCATCTGAACATAATTCTATTTTACCCCATTTCCATATGGACATATAAATATCTTTTAGCAAATTTCTCATTATTTCTCTTTACTCTTATTCAATTTCATTATTATTATTATTTTTTCTATATTTATCCATTTTATAGTCATCATCTTCATTTCTCTCTGACTTGTTTACCGTTATTCTCATCCAACATTCCTCCAAGGTTTTATCAATTCTCAAACAAACATAAACACACAAAACACAAAAATTCTTTTTAGAAAGTAGCTTGGCCCCAGATTACCTCTCTTTATATGGACTTCAATTAAATTCATGCTCATCTTATATACCATTACCTATCTTATTTACCATTCTATATTTTCTATATAGCTTCTCCCCGCTTTTCACTCTTCTTAATTCTATTTTATTTATTTCATTTTAATTTAAATCATTATACTTGTATCTTTTGTCCATTCTTTCAAAATTATCCATTTATCTCATTCCCTATAGTAAAAAAAGGATTTCTCTTGGAATCACTAATCAAAGTATGATGCCTTTCTATCGTCCCCCTAAATTAACATTTAAAATAACACCTAGTACCCAATCTGATTCTGCTTAGTATATTCTACCTACTAACTTTTAAAAAGAAGAAAAAATAATAAATCCAAAATGATTAAATACATAATTAGATAATAAATCTAAATATTAAATCCTGTAACATTCCAATTATCTATTTCAAAAACAAATGCTACAGTAATAAGTTTATAATAACATCAATACAATAGTCAATTAAACGCTTTAATTAAACTCAATATTTTAGACATTCCCTTTAATATTTTGTTAACTTTTAAAGTCTATCATTACTAAACATTTCAATATTTTAATCTTTTATTAATTCTTATAACATTCTAATTTTCTATTTCTAATACAAATACTACAATACCATCTTATGTACCTTGCAGAATCTTCTTTTAAAAAAATTATACATTACCCTTTATCCCTAAAAAAAATTCCTTTTTTCCCATCTTGTTTCATACCTTTGTGGCTTTTTCCCCTCTTTTCCCTTCCTTTCTTATCCCACCTGGCCTTTTTACCCCCCCCCCCCTCTCCTAACCTCCGCCTTTTTAGCTTCCACTCTCTGTTGTATTCCTTTTTTCTTTTGTTTTCTAACATTGTGTTGATTTTGCATCTTATTTTTCTCTTTCTTGGGTGTTTTTTTAGGTCTTAAGTCCTTCATTTTCCTTCCTCTCTTTCTCCTTTCTTTCTTAATTAAACTTTTGGATTAATTAAAGATGGCATCTTCTTCTTCTTTTTCTTCTTCTGCTTCCTCCATCTGTTGTTGTGTTTGCTGACAAATAGCAAGCGCCATTTCTAAAAAATGAAAGGCTTCTTTCACAGCGTCCTTGCTTTCTTTCTTTATTTTTCCATATTCCTTTCTAAGTTCATCAACAGGTAAAGCCATTATAAACCTTTTCTTCCCCCCTCCCCCTCTTCTTCTTCTTCTTAAAACAACCAAGATGTTTCAAAAGTTAAAACAGTTCCCCAAAGTCCCAGAGTCATCAATCAGTCCAAACAAAGCACAAAGTTCTCACTTTCTCTTCCTGGGGTAATATCAATAAAAAGAAAAGAAAAAGCCCAATCTGTATTTTAAAGCCTTGTTGCAATTAATTTCTAGTCTCAAAATCTTCAAGGCATCTCCTCCAACAAAATCTTAATATATTTTTTTTGTCCTCTCCCTTCCCACTTATAACAAGGAGCCAAATTTTTACCTTCTATAAAAAGACAGGTTTCTCAATGTCCATTTGTTGATTCCGTAGGGAAGGAGAGTAAACTTTCCCTTTCAACACCTCAAATTCGCCGCTTGAAAATCTCCTCTGGAAACAAAGTATCGTTCAAAAAGTCATGGTTTTCAGGATGTTAGGTGCATCTTAAAGTCCTGGGTCAGCCAAAAAAAAAACTTTCTCTCAAAACTTTCTCCCTCTTCCTCCTGTGCAGTCTTACCCAGCTGCCGGCTTCTTTGTGGCAGCCATTACAGACCGCTGCTTCACCGCCTTGAGAGAAGGGGGTTTTGCCGGCTGGGGAGGGGGTCTGCGACACCCCCAAACCCCTCTCCGGATCCCCCTATCTTCAGCTGCCTCTATGGGGCAGCCTTAGCCTCCAGACCCATCGGGATCGGAGGCACCAAGACGGCTAGCGCAACAGGGATAGCGCAGGATCGCGAATCCCTGCCACCGCCGAAGCCTGGCAAACCGGAAGTCAAACACAGGGCTATTTTAGAAGACATCATATACGGGAGTCTTTGTGGTTAAATTGGGAGAAGATTAAAAGACAATGTTATTTGAAAATCCCAGTTTGGTTATCGACTATTGAAGCTTTTTCCTATCCTATAATATATAAGAAGGAACAAACAGTTAGATATGGGGAAATATTGGATGAAAAGGGTGAACTTAAATTGATGCAAAATTTAGAGGAACAAGGTATAAAAATGAATTGGTTTTCATATGCGCAAATACATTCAAGGTATGATGAAGATTTTAAAACAGAAGGATTCTATGATAAATTGACTGATTTAGACAAGATTTTGACAGGTACTGATGAAAAGGTGATTAAAAAACTATATGGTTATTTATTGGAAATTAAACTAGAGGAAGAACAAGTTAAAGAAACTATGATTGCTTGGGGGAAGAATTTTGGATATGGGATTGATTTAGAGAAATGGCAAAAATTGTGGTCTCAAAATTATAAAATGACAATGTCAACAGCATATAAAGAAAATCTGTATAAGATGTTTTACAGGTGGCACTTTCCCCCGACAAGAATAGCAAGAATGTTCAAGAATAAATCTGAAAAATGCTGGAAATGTCATCAGATACTTGCCTCATATTACCATATGTGGTGGACTTGTGAGGACGCTAGAAAATATTGGACTAAAATTCGCATGTGGTTGGAAAAAATGACAAAGAAACACATAGACTTGAAACCAGAGATCTTTTTATTGGGAATTTTACCTGATACATATAGTAAAGATTTGAAATACCTGATTGTAAATGTATTAACAGCGGCTAGGATTGCTAAAAACTGGAAAAATGAGAAAATACCGTTGCAGAAAGAAATCATTAAGAAAATATTGGAATGTGCTGAAATGAGTAGATTGACATTTGAAATTAGAGAACAAGAGGATAAACAATTTTATAAAATTTGGGACCTTTTCTATCAATGGTTAGATAATAAAACACAATAGAATATCTAGAATTCTAGAAAATAATGAATATATAAAGATGTATTTCTTTTTTTTATATCATATCTATAAAATGTTTTTAGGATAGATTTGGTATGATTATATGATTTGTTATAAAATAAACTAAGTAAATTATAGTTATCTCGCAAAGTATGAATGAATAAAATTATAGTCAAATGATTGTTCAATAGTGATACTAGGGTATTTAATTTCTGATTGATAATATGAGTTATTATGTAATGTAGCTGTAATTGAGACTACGAAATGGATGCACAAAAAATTGGTAAACCAACCGACACACTGCTTGTATGTTTATGAAAGAAAGCTGGATGTTTTTATGTTTTGTTTTGTCTTTAAAAACCAATAAAATTGTTTTAAAAAAAAATTATGCCACCAGATAGACTGAATGCACCAATTATCACATTAAACAAGAGGAAAACCTTCTGTGCACCAATTCCAGGATTTAAAAAGGATTTAAAAAGGACGTTTGCGCACAGCACCTTGCTGGAAGCAAAGTATGCATTATCTTTGTTTGTCAAGTCTTATCTGGGTTCCTGCATCCTCCCAACTGTGTGTGTTTCGTTATCTTTTGAAGTCTGCAATTCCGTATCCTGCCTGCCTCGTTAATTGCTGCAGCTGTGGTTTGTGTTGGTTTTTATTGATAATCTATATGTACTTTGGGTTCGGACTGAATTTCTTCCCTTTAAAAACTGTTCTTGGGAGAGTTTTTTCTCCAGCCGATGATAAGTGGGCATTGGGGGTCACATTGGAGATATTAAAGGGACGTTACCAACTTTTGTGACTTTGTTGCTTTTGTGCCCGCCCCGGGTCATCACAGCTTCTTTTGTGTGTATCATCTTATGGGAAATAAGATTACTTCTATGAGCAAAGGTCTTTCCACATTCTATGCATTTAAATGGCTTCTCTCCTGAGTGGATCCTTTCATGGGAAATAAGATTACTTCTTTGAGCAAAGGTCTTTCCACACTCCATACATTTAAATGGTTTCTCTCCTGAGTGGATCTTTTTGTGGCTTCTAAGGCCACTGCTCCAAGCAAAGGTCTTTCCACACTCCATGCATTTAAATGGTTTCTCCCCTGTGTGGATCCTTTCATGGGAAATAAGATCAACTCTTTGAGCAAAGGTCTTTCCACACTCCATGCATTTACACGGCTTCTCCCCTGTGTGGATCCTTTCATGGGAAATAAGATGACCTCTTTCAGCAAAGAGGTCTTTCCACACTCCATACATTTATATTCTCCCCTGTGTGGATCCTTTCATGAGAAATAAGTTTACTTGTTTGAGCAAAGCTCTTTCCACACTCCACGCATTTATATGGTTTCTCCCGTGTGGGTCCTATTATGGACAGTAAGTGAACTTCTATGAGCAAAGGTCTTTCCACACTCCATGCATTTAAATGGTTTCTCTCCTGAGTGGATCTTTTTGTGGCTTCTAAGGGCACTGCTCCAAGCAAAAGTCTTTCCACACTCCATGCATTTAAATGGTTTCTCTCCTGCGTGGATCCTTTTGTGGCTTCTAAGGCCACTGCCCTGAGTAAACGTCTTTCCACACTCCATGCATTCATATAGTTTCTCCCCTGTGTGGATCATCTTATGAGAAATAAGATTACCTCTTTGAGCAAAGGTCTTTCCACACTCCATGCATTTAAATCGTTTCTCCCCTGTGTGGGTCCTATTATGGACAGTAAGTGCACTTCTATGAGCAAAGGTCTTTCCACACTCCATGCATTTATATGGCTTCTCCCCTGTGTGGATCCTTTCATGGGAAATAAGTTTACTTGTTTGAGCAAAGCTCTTTCCACACTCCATGCATTTATATGGTTTCTCCCCTGTGTGGGTCCTATTATGGACAGTAAGTGCACTTCTATGAGCAAAGGTCTTTCCACACTCCATACATTTAAATCGTTTCTCTCCTGAGTGGATCTTTTTGTGGCTTCTAAGGGCACTGCTCCAAGCAAAAGTCTTTCCACACTCCATGCATTTAAATGGTTTCTCCCCTGTGTGGATCATCTTATGAGAAATAAGATTACCTCTTTGAGCAAAGGTCTTTCCACACTCCATGTATTTAAATCGTTTCTCCCCTGTGTGGATCCTTTCATGGGAAATAAGTTGCCTGCTTGTTCTAAAACATTTTCCACATTCCAAACACTTATAAGGCTTCTCTTCTGTGTCAATCGCTTTTTGAGATGTAAGGAACTTATTCCCAAGAGAAAGAATGAATGTCCCATTGTAATTTTGTCCACTGTGTCTTCTTATAGCATCTTCTCCTTTGTTTTGGGTTAAATAGTGTTCATTTACTTGTACTTTAGCTTTGATTAGCTTCACACATTTTCCAGTATATTTTTTCCTTATTTCCTCTTGTTGGGCAAGAAAGTCTTGCATCGGAGCATCAGTGGAAGATGAGCTTTCCTGGTTGAAATTCTTTGACTGGTTTCTATCATGGTTTTTGAATTCCATTCGAATTCCAAACTTCTCCATTCCATCCTTAGCATTGATCACTTGGAACAGTTCACAAGAATCTTGATTCTCTTGCCCATTATTACCTTCAAAGCAAAAGGGAAATGAAAATGATAACTGTTAGGAATCTGTACACCAATTACTTGGGTTAGCAATATATAAACCAACAATGTATGTTTGCAGCTTTAAGACAAAAATACTGCATTGATTGTACTATGTTCCGATTGGTTGATTGTATTGTGAATTGCCATAAGAGGGAGCTAGAGATCATAGCTTGCTCTCTCTGACATTCCTTATTTCTGACATTCTGTATCTCTGACATTCTGTTGCTATCTAAAGTTTTTCTGCTGTGCTTATACTTTGATATCTTTGTTTACTGTAAATGACAAAGGCACCCGGTAAGAAGACTTTGTAATTGGATATTCTTTGGACTGTAAAACGTATATGACCTGGACTGTTTATTGGACTGTGCTATTTCTTAGAGTAAACTTTAACTCAATTTAGTGCAGATGTATGTGGCTGAATAATTATTCATAACTACTCTCATAAACGTTTCCATGTGCATATCCTTGTTACTCAAGGGTTATTCTGTACATATCATAACAAGGTTAGAGAAAAAGATCAAAGTGTAGAAAGTCAAGTGAATTTCCTTCTGAATTTCTCCGAAATTCCATGAGGTTGTATGTTTGCATGCCTACAGTGGTGTGATATAGACATGATGATTTTTATATTCATGAGTCATGAAAGCTTTGAAGATATCTAGACATACCTTTCTTTACAATTATCTATATATATGCAAATCTCACTCAGAGTCAGTTTCGAGTTAAGGAATAATCAAGGGAAACATCCAAGGAGAAATTAGGAGAAAACTTACGATTTATTGAGGTGGCTTAATTTCTGCAGAGACTTGTGAGAAATGAAACAATTTTGAAAAAAGCTCCTTCGTCCCCAGTGTACCTTGGAGCAGCTGCTCCACGGTGTCTGTCTGGTGGGTGGGACCCCCACTCGGCCTGTTCCTTGATCCCAGCAATCATATTTTGGAGATAAATCCCATGCTAGAAGCCTCCCATTGCCTTGAAGCCTCCCATTGCCTTATAAAAATTTTGTGTTGAGATTGGAAATGTTAGAAGGCTTCAAGAATCGCAGAGAACTGAGGCCTAAAGTACTTTAGTGCAAGATCACATGAGCAAGATCTCAGGCTAACATCTCATGTGATATTGCACCGCAGTACTTTAGGTCTGTGTTCTTTTAAGGACTGAGGGCTGCACGAGATCCAGGGCAAAAGTCTTTGGAAACAAAGAGGCCTTCCTTCTCTTTGCAAAGCGTTTTGCCCCGGATCTGGTGCAGGCCTTGGTTAGCAGAGAACAGAGGCCGAAAGCACTGTAGTGCGAGATCACGTGAGATCAATAGTGCTAGATTTCCCACTACTGATCTCACGTATCTCTCACTACTTTAGGCCTCTTTTTTTCTGCAAATGCACCAAAGCAGGCAAGGGAACCGATGGCTCGCCACATCATCACAAGGTACCATATTTTTAAGATTATAAGATGTGCTGGACACATATAAGACACACAGGTTTAGAGAAGGAACACAAGGAAAAAAATAGTTTTGGCCTCCGCACATCCCATTTTTGCCCTCCCGGGTGTCCAGGTGCACTCTGCACAAAAAACGGAAGGCTAATTTTTGGCCTTCCAAACCCTCTGCACATCCTGTTTTTTCCCTCCCCAGCATCCAGATGCACTCTGCAGGCCAAAGACGGACCAGTTTTTAGCGTCCCATTTTTGACGTCCCATTTTCAGCCTCCCCAATGTCAGGCAGGCCAACAGCAGGCCCATTTTTAGCCTGCTGAGTGCTTCTGGATGCCAGGGAGGGTGAAAATGGGACGAGCAGAGGGTTTGAGA